TGATATGCAAATTTTCTGCATATACAGCCTTGTGTCTACCGCGGTGCGGTAGATTAAGGCTTACCGCGGTAGGATAATTTGGCGACGCTCCCTTACTTGGATAGGATACAAAAAAAAAACAATACAAGATAGTTCCCAGAAATGAAAGAACACATGCATTATATATTTTTTTAAGTCAGCTATTATTATTAATTTTTTTTTTCCTTTTCTTAAAAATATATACAGTCCATGTAACTCACTATATTTGCATCATCATTTTTTTTTATATAACATCTTCAAAGATACTTTTAGAAGACTGTCAGTATAACACAGCTTGGGAAAGAATACAATTTTACAATAAAATGTGGCAAGACAAACCAAACCAGTCACTCGTCAGAAAAATCAATTTTTAGTTATTAATACAGGGTTATAAAAAAAGTTACAAATGAAAGCTATAAAAATAGTAAAAGTACCATTTAAATCCGACAATTTTGTGTTACAATGTAATACAAGAGTTTAAAAATCTGTTTAAAACAACTATATTTGAGAAATCATGCCTTCGAAGTTTATGATTTCAGGCATTTCTCAGGCAGAAACTTCATAAAATCATTAAAAAGTTTTGTTTTAACATTGAAAATGGGGAAAATAGCAGCAATGATATACAGATATAAAGGATAGTGCAATAAAATAGATTTCAAAAATGTTGACATTCCAGCATGTTTCGGCCATTACAGTATCTCTGAAACAAGATTTGTGACCAATGACTGGTTTGGCTTGTCTTTGCCACAAATGACAATAATTACTAAATACTGATTGATTATAATTGACATAAAATGATAAGTTATTAAATTTCCCAAAACTGATTATTGAGTTAAATAGTGGTAAATGCTTATCTTACCTTTCTAGCATTTTTATCAACTTTCACTGCACTCAACAATACAGAACAGATTTGACATCTTATGTCTCTTGGCAACAGAAAAAGCTGAATGCACAAGTTGCTGTGGAAACTTTTGTTTATTGTTTATTGATATTTTCCATATACAATACAAGATTCAATAGTAATTAATATTGTAATTTTAAAATTACACAATTTATATATTAAGTATAATGAAGTAAATATAATACCACTATATATTAAATACAATAAAGTAAATATAATACCACTATATATTAATAACATTAATTTGCAAATAAGGAAATTACTTTTTGTATTATAATTGTCATAATATTCAATAATCAACATTTAGGTGTATCATGATGATCATTAGCATCTTGTCTCCAAAGCAAAGAGAGCATAAGGGGGTAAGTTAGCTGAGGCGGCTGAACTGGTGGTAGCTACTGTGATGCACAAATCTTTCAAGATCCTCAGTCCCTCGCTCAATTCCATCTGTGCTCTCCTTTTGTTTTACCTGGAGGACTGAAATTCAAGTTAAAATAGCGCACGTTTCCGTAAAAGACATTTAAGGTATTGGTCTTAAACACCAAATACAGTACACTCTTCAGAGAGGAGTAGTCAACTCACTACAAAAATGACACCTTGGAAAACAAGTCTCAGATTTTATCCATTCCAACAAGTTATCACTTATTAATAATACATTACTTGGAAAATAGTAACATAAAAGTAAAGGTAGGAGAATTAGCCATAACTCGCAGCGTCATTGTGCTGAATTGTCATTGTGCTGAATTGTATATGGGTGAGGTTTGGGCGTGGTTTGTGATACTGGAGTACTGTGTAAATAAAAGAAAAAGAATTTAAATTGCACAAAGTGCCATGAGCAACACTCTTGTGGTGGATATACTGACTCTATATTAAAATTGCCATTTATTATTTTCATAAAAACTGGAAGTGTGAGGTGGGATATCCCAAAATTTGGATGGTTTGATTTGGAATGACCCTTCCACTGTTCACAGGGCTTTGTTATTATGTCACTGCACCCTCTCTAGGGAAAATAACCCTGCAAGTTCATTATACTTCCACTTTGAATTACGTGTCTCCCTTAAATTAAAGACCTCCCCAATTTGAAGACCACTTTTCTGTGGTCTCAAATTAACAAGTCTTTCATCTTTATTTTTCTAATTAGAGACTGAAGATCATGGAAACTGTGGTCCCAAAAGTGGTATTTATAGAGGGAGACCTGTAGTTCAAATCCACTCACAAAAACTATCATTTTCTATCATTTTGCTTGTAGCACTGGGAGGCCACCAATGCAACAGCACTTTGTAAGTTCTGTGTAATTATAATTAGCATATTATTAAATTAAATAAAAGCAATAATTTGAGCGTACCTTAGTTTGACAAGCTTTGCCTCTTTGACTGCTTCTTTCATGAGTATGGTCGACAATGAGAATTCCAGTGACACTACTTAAAAAGTAGTAGCAGGATGTAAACGTTCACAATCACTCAGCCTGCACTCAAGAAGCTTCTCAAGAAAGTTGCATGGCAGATTAGCCTGATTTGACCTTCAGAATACAGAGAAAGAATGATCACTCTATAACAGTAGCACTAGCAGGGCAGGGAAGGGAGATAATCCCCAGCTTGAAAGAAACTACCTCCCCCACCCCCCACCTTGATTTCCTACAACTAAGTCTTATCGAGGTTTGTGGATTGAAGTGCTTTTTCATTTGGAAACTCAGTGCTCTAAACCATGGCAGAGTCTAAAGTCTCTATACAGTAGAACCCCTCAATTACATACGGCACGGGCCCAGAGCCATTTGTAATTGCGGGTATTCGTAAAATTGGGGTTGACCCAAATTCCTATATGTTTGCACTGGTACTACTTACACTGGCATAAACTAGGCCTCACAAGCCTATACAGTTAAGTCTGAGGGGTCCTAGGCCAACAGTAGGCAGTTTCTAAGTATTCTGATCCCACTCCACACTAATTTTGTTTTGAATTTGTTTGTATGTTGTTATCTTCTTAAATACCTAGATTGTGGATTTTACTCCAACACAACTTCCATAGATACTTGTTATATATTGATCATTAATAAAACAATCAAGGACTATGTTGACTTTTAAAGCTGAAAATGATGATTAAAAGAGAAGTAAAACTTGTCACATGCACATGTGTAAAGCCAATAAACACTGAATTTGTGATGAGGCCAGTTAGAGGGCCTCCTTCACTTGAGAATTACATACTGTCTAGTATATGTTGTTTTGTATGGGTGCTAATAACAGTTACAATTCGAGTGGATTTTTTTTTTTCACTTGCTTTTCACTTCACTTTTTATGACGTCATCACCTTGATTTAGGAATTCGTTAAATCGGGGTTCGTAATTGAGGGTTTCTACTGTATTTGGTTGTGAGAAACTAGTTCCTGACATTTTCTACCATGATTGAACCTAGAACCTCGTGGTTATGTAAAGCAAGCACTTTAACCACAAAAGTACAGCTTAAATCCATTCATTATATTGTTAATATTATTCACAAATTAATCTACAGTAGGAACATACAGTACCATTCCATAAAACTGACCCACAATTTAAAGGAAGAGGTCTCGCTGTAGGTTGAATGCCAAGTATTTGATCCTGTGTATATCAGTGTCCACATTCAAGTATTCAACCCGCGCAAACGGAACCTATTAAATGTCTAATGGAATAAAAAGATAAAACATATCAACTGGTTTGTTAACAATAGTAACAAAGCATCAATCAATTTATTTGGAAAATGCTATTGTTTTTATGAGCGGCCATCGACTTGATGGTGCACCATTAAATTCAATGTACATATGACAAGTTTGGCTATCAACCAAATGGAATATTATTCTGATAAGGTTGCCCATAATGTTAAAACAGCCAAAAAAAGAGATCCCAACAGGGATGTCCCAAAGATGAGGGTTCTACAGAATATGAGGATTTTAAATAGGTAAGAATTAAATCATAGATTCATTGGTATTGATGTTGTAATGCTCTTTCTTATCTGAGCCTCGATCGCAGTGGGCAAGGCAACGGTGGTATTCCGTTGACTTTCAATAAGTTGCTAAACAGATGAAATAAAAGAACAAGTATGGTATCACAAACGTCAAATTCTCTATGAGAGCCAACAGACTATTTTATTAATGATTATACTCACAGATGAAGTAACTACACTACAATTCAGTATTTCCGAGAAGTAGGTCCATTAATTTCTAGAACGTCCTCATTCCTAAAGATAGAGATATCAAGTGCAGTACTGTTCTCTTACCCTAACTAGTTGCCCATACATGTATAGCACACATATCTCTCACCTCTTCTCGTGGAAGGATTACAAACAAGCAGAGGGAGAGAAGGCCGCCTTGGGAGCAGCATTAGCACTGGCAGCCAAGGGAGAAGGCCAGGATTTATTTCCAGACTAACACTTATATACAGTAGGGACACCATCAGCCAGTCAGACTGACGGACCAGGAATTACTAAGTACCAGCAATCACTATTAGTATTTCAGGGCTGTCCCATCATTTTAGCATGTACTGTATTGCCAAAAAAAGCTGTTACAACAGAGGGGGTAATAATAATAAAAATAATAATAATAATAATATGCTGTTTTTTATATAGTGCTCTATACACCTAAGTCTCAGAGCGATTCTCCACATTATTACCCGAGTCATTAGAACGATGCCTATGGAAAAAATTCCATAGATTGCTGCATGAAATATATCAGCGCATTTTGCACTTGAACGTCCTTAGGCGAGACTTTGTTTATACCTTGTTTAGTGAACCTGCCAACTGCAAATATTGATGATTTCAGATTAAAATTTCATTTTATTTTTGGCCAATTAGCTCACCCGCTGCCACAAAAAAATGGAAATTTTATAAAAAAAAATAAAAGTTTTTTTTAAATTTCATTACGCCTTCCACTGCATTGATATCACCAAAGATAAGATATGTATATTTCTTCCTAATTATATAAATTTGAAACATTTAACCATCCCATTTTACATTCACCAATAAAATTTTATATTTATTTTTCCTCCGTCTGGATATCATTGGCAAAACTATTTGCTAAATAAGGAAACAAAATTTTACTTTTATTTTTATTGCGCCCTCCTCTGATGATCTTAAAAAAAAGTGCTAAACAAGGAATAAAAAAGTCTCACCTTTTACCTACTTTTACTCCTGGCAGGAGAGAAGCAATGCAGAGATAAAGTGCCTTGCTCAAGGAATTTGTAATTTCGCTACAATATTTTTATACCTCTCTAGCCATTCTTTTCAAATTGTGGACATTATGGAAGCAATAACAGGGTTGGTTCCCCATAATGTTGGAAAATATAGTTTACTTCATTTTGAGGCTGAAAAAAAATTACTACATTAATAATTAAGATTTTGATTAAAAGATGCATTCTTTTTCAAAATGGGAATGGATTTCAAACCCCAGACATAGTCGCTTTATATGAAGTTTTTGAGAAAGCACATCGTTTATGACAAATTTTGAAGTCTCATCATCTCACTGATTCAGAATCAATATTTTGATCTCTTAGCAGTGGCGGATCCAGGAATTCCAACTGGTTGCTCATAGACTTTTTACAAATGGAGGGACTACACCAACTCAGCCCCCTCCTTGATCGAGGCTGAGGTAAGAAAATTATTATTATGGCACCTCTAAATGGCTGGAGACTTATATTTTAATTCAATTTTTTCTTTTTTTTTCCATTTTTTGTTATAATTTGAAAAGTTTAATAGGGGGTCTGGCCACCCTTGAATTCACCACTGTTTATAATAAATTACAACTACAGCAAAACCCCTCCTTTGGGACACCCCTATTAAGGGGACATTTTTTTCGGCCACGAAACTAGGGAAGTAAATCTTTTACCCTACGGCCAACCCTTATTCAGGGAAAACCACTATTAAGAGGACACTTCTTTAGGTCCTGCAGGTGTCCCTTTAATAGGGGTTCTACTGTACACAAAAAAAATTAGGTTTTCAAAAATAAACAGTAAAGAAATAAAATACATGCGCTCACCCTTTCCCCATATGTCCTTCTACCTGAAAATTTTTCAGTGTTACAAATTTTTTTTTTTTTTTTTTTTTTTTTTTTTGCCGCCGAAATGAAAGAAATCATTCAAATATGTTTCACCACAATGTGACAATGTAAACATGTTGACTTTAAAATTTAGCTGATGTTGCTGTTTCCTGCAAAAACAAAAACAAAATCAAACCTATGTGTACAACCTGCAAACCATCTTTGGCTAGAAAACATCCCAACACCAATTTCATTTCATTTCCTTTAGGCACGCCAAGATGCCAATAAGTGAACCTAATCACTGTCCTACGTGGCATATCCATTTAACAACGGGGGACTTAATGGACCAGTACACTAGGGTAACCCCCTACTCTTAACAAATGATGTACTGGGTTTTCTAAAGTGTACACAAGCCCATTGCGTACACTAGGCTTACGGTTTGAAGTCCTTATCCGAGAAGACTTGTTCCACCATCGGAACCACTGGCGAGGGGGCCGTTCGAACCAACGCCGATATTACAGCTGAAGGTTACGGTGCCCCTGACTTAACCGCTCGGCCAATCAATAATTTTTTTTTTTTTTTTTTTTTTTTTTTTGTGCAGAGCTACTACCCGATTGTTAGGTCTACCTAGTAACATAAAAAATAAATAAAAATTGTGCATTTTCAACTGTTACAACATTATCATTTAATCAGTACGACCTTGTATGCCTACCCGCCCAATATAGGGACAAGTCAGAGCAGCAGCAGAGCGTATCGACCTTAAAAATACCGTAATATAAAGAGAATTCCCTGGATTTCACACAAATGATCCCCGCCATCCGACACCCTGCGATGTGCTTCTGCTTTGCCGACGCTGCGTCTGTATACAGTATATGTAATAATAACACGCTACAACCAACCATACAAACCATACTAGTATCATTATATTATATTATATTACTATGGATGCAATATTTTATTCTGCAGTATGACAATTCAGGCCCCGAAACCTTGACTCAGAAATACCGGGATGGTGTCCGGCGGGGATAGTTTCACCTGTATATATATAATAATAATCGGGATAATAATACACTACAACCAACCATACAAATTTGTCTTGGTCCATTTTATGTTACTCATTTGTCTTTGAGTGAGTACAGTATGATACAATTTCCAAAGTGCTATTAAAAGCCATACAGTACTTCTTATTCAAACCATACTAGTAAATCATTATATTATATTATATTACTATGGATGCAATATTTTATTCTGCAGTATGACCATTCAATAATTAAATAACACCTGTAAATGTTTAGAATGATGGAGCTTCGAGGGCTTCACCTCCTGGCCCCCAGCCAATGGTGCTTGCTTCACTCGCAAGTGCCCTGTCAGTATCAAAAAGAACCCCCCTTTCAAAATCCTGGCTGGGCTTGTATGAGACTGAAATGGATCAGACATTTCATTTATTTCGTCCAATTTTAAAATCATGTACAACAAAAACAAAAACAAAACAAAACACCCCTGACAGAGACAGGATTATACAAAAGCAAACTTAATTGCTGCACAAATTTTCTCTGCCGCCAAGGCACTTTAACAAACAATAATAAATATGTGGGAAATTCCACCGAAAGGTCAACCTGGTCATCAAATTGTCATATTTACTGCACCTACCCAAGTGAGGTGTCATTTTGAAGCTCATACTATATACTTTCTGGTACTTCTGGTAATTTTACATCAATTTTTATATATATTATATATAATTATCGGGTTTGAAGTTAAGAGTAGCAAATTTATTTACCAACAAAACATGTAAATTGACACATAACTGTATAAAACAAGTTAAAAACTTCATTTAGGATAAATTATTATTTTATATCGAAGTGTACTAAAATATCTGCCAGACTATAACAAAAATAAAGAAAAAAAAAAATGTCGGAGTTTGCAATAATTCAATTTTAATTAGATTATTTTTTTTTGTACGTCCATAACCAAAATTTCAATTTTTTTAAATATCAGGTATTAAAATTTTTCTGTATAATACCAAAAAATATTTGCAAAGCAGGTTTTAGGTCCCAAGTACAATCATCTAAAAAAAAAAATTTAACCTCCGATTTTAAAGTCAATAATTACGCTATAATTTATGTACGTCCATAACCG